AAAAAAAAAAAGAAAAGATGACGGGGCGAGGAGGGAATTCTCCAAGTGACCAGACGCACTCTCTGAATTGGTGAGGATGGTGTGTCCACCACGACCCGCTTGCCCAAACTCGCTTAGCCGTTCACCCCAAAGCATCCATTTTACTGTGTGCAGATGGTTTTAACTTACGTGTCGTTTTGAACATTGACAAGCAGGGGCTCTCTTTTGTTGAAGAAATGCCGCTCTCCTCCCGGAAGTACGTGACAAAGACAACGTGTCCCAGAGAGATTTTCTTAATTGTAGTTATTGCAAGAGAGGGAGGCGGGAAAGGCGGGGGAAGAACGAGGAAATGTGATTTACGGGGTTGATTTGTTTAGGCCCGAAAGGGACGGTGGAATCTCATCTATAATGTATGGCTCTGCAGGAACGGAAGTGAAGCCCACTGACCCAGTGTCCCTTCGGAGCCAGAGAGGGCTGTGATGGGGAATGCCGTTCTGACGGTGCCCAGAGCGGGCCGAGCCCTGCATTGAGATGCCGGAGGGAGGCGGTGAATAAATTAGACTGCCTTTGTCGGGCTCCTGCAGGAGGACATGAGATGGATGGCCCTGTGGCAGTCAGCAGACACTGGGGCACGTGTTAGACAGCTAGTCCCTGGTGCATTTGCAGAGGTGTTGCCTGTACTTGGAGGCTAGAGCCAGGGTCCCCTGAAGGACAGCCAGCTGGGCCCAATCAGACTCAAGTTGACCAGGTGGGGACAGAAGAGAGCAGCCTGGCTCTGAAGGATGAGGACAGCTCTGTACACAACTCTCTGGAGAGCTGCTCGGGGCACCCGCGAGGCCGTGGAGCTCCTGAGACAGCCCTGTGCTTAACAGGTGAGCGTTATGGGTAGGGTAGGGCGGGGGTCAGGGCTGGGGTTCAGTTCCACATCAGAATAAGGTTTCTCATTAACAGCCTTCCAAGGGAGGAAGGGCCTGGCCCCAGAGTAGGGGCTCCCAGCCCCAGTCAGGCCTAGGAGCTTGGGGAGCTGGGATGTCAGAGGGGTTGCCCCGTTTGGAACTCTGCCGCTCTCAGACAATTTCCTGGAGTTTTGTTTTGGGCACGTGGTAGAGTCAGCTGCAGCCTAGTCTGCCCACAGCTCCTGGGCCTTTGACGCTGCCCCTTTCCTCCCTGTCTCCTGTGCCACGGTGGCCCAGCGCTGGTGTCAGGGTCCTCTCCCCCTCCAGGACAGGCCTCTCAAAGCAGCAGGGGCGGCTCTGTAGGCAATGGCTCCTGCGCTTTCTATTTATCACGTGCTACTTCATCCACCCCCTGGTGCCAGGCCTGCTCCTGACCCTGCTTCTGCTCATGCCAACCTGACTCATCCCCTTCACTCTCAGGGCACAGATACACAGCTCAGGGGCGGCGCGCTCAGGGACGGGGGCCTGTGCCCATTTCACAGATGAGGAAACCCCAGTCCAGAGCACTTCCACCACCAGGCCTCCTATCACACTTTCCTCAGGACCTGGTGCAGGGTAAGACGGGTGTCAACACCTGGGCTGCAAGGCTCCTGTTCCTGGAGGGAGGAGCTGCGGGGTGAGGAGGCCAGGGTAGTGGACAGCGAGGTGCATGTGCAGGCAGAGAGAAGGCAGGGCAGTGTGGACATGTGGAGCGGGGCCTTAAATGCCAGGAGCGGGAGGAAGACGGGCCTTTCTCCTCCCGCAAGGAGTCTCAGTCTCAGAAGCTCACAGGGGCAGCTCTACCCTGTCCTGTAGGGCTGCTCTGAGTCGGCATCGACTCCGTGGCAGTGCGTTTGGTTTGGAGCGTTTCTGATTGCCGGGAAAGGCAGCTGACCTGGATGCGGTAGGTCTGAGTGTGAGCTGAGCAGATGAGGCTGGGGAGGGAGGCTGAAGATGCTGACTTTGGTTAACCTGTCATTTTGTCCAGAGAGCACGCTCCCTCCTGCTCCCTCCTGCCAACCCAGAGCCATGCCTGCCTGCTTCACCAGGTTGGCCTGGTTCTTAACCCTCAGTCCCTCCCTTTACCGGTGGTTTCTATGTCTATTAATCAGTTCTTGTGTGTGTGTTGAGGGGGTGGATTTCGGAGGGAGGGTGGCTATAAGAGGATAGAGGGACTGCATCTCTGGTGTCTTGAATGAACCCCAGGAGTCCCTGCCCAGGGTGAAACCCCCTCCCCTGGAGATGACACCAGCCCCCCCTGGAGCTGCTGGGTGGAAGCTGTGGGCAGATGGCAGCCAAGTCGCGGGAGGAGCCCTGGAGGGTGTGTGAAGGGGTCCCCCAGGGCTGCCAGACAGACTTGGGGCTTCCGGAAATTGTCTTCCTCCCTCCCTGAGCCCCCATTTTCCTGTTGTGAGAAACAAAGGGGATGGGCTAGAGGTCTCCTCCCTGGTCCTGGGAGCACGCTCCCTCTGCCTCCTTGGTCTTGAGTGGCTTCTGCGTGTCAGAGTTTCATCTGATGCTGCTACCCTGGTCCCTGCAGGGTGTGGACGGAGGCTGGACACAGGGGTGTCATATGAAAACTCCACTGGTGCTTTCTGCAGGCTGGCTCGGCAGCCATCGGCCGAGGGGGGTGCTTGGACCCTGGCAGGTAAAGGCCGTGTTCCTTGTCTTCCCTCAGCTCCTGTGGTCATCGGTCCACCCCGCAGCACTCACAATGTCACGGGGGCACAGGTGTACCTGTCCTGTGAGGTGAGGGCTGTGCCCGCTCCTGTCATCGCATGGAGGAAGGTATTGCTACCCGAGAACTCGTGCCTTAGCAGTGTGAGTGTGTGTGTGTGTGTGTCTGAGTGAGCGTGTGTGTGTGTGTGTGTGTGTGTGTGTGTGTGTGTGTATGTGTGTGTATTGGGGGGTGGACAGAAGGGCGTGGGAGGAGGGGAGGGAGTGGGTAGAAAAGAAACAGGTATGGAGAACATTTTTTTATTTTCCTTGAAGTGGGTAGTCTGTGTATCTTTCTTTGTGGATCAGAGGATTAAAAGAAAGATGCCTTATATATGACTCCCCCACTTCTGGGCTTCTACCTCACACCTCTCCCTGCAAAGAGGGACATGACCTTCTTTCTTGTGCCTTTTGCTCCCTTGGCCACCCAGGCATCCAGAAAGTTCTGCCGTTCATCTGCCCAAATCAGCCACTGTGAAGCTAGAAACCACTTTTAAAAAAACAGGAGCTGGGTTTAAAAAAAAAGACCTGGCTGGTGACAGGTGACCCGATACGATGGCAAAAATCAATCTTCCTGCAGATCCAGTTTGGGGTGACTGAAGGGGATTTCAACATATGTGACCTCCACAGCCCTTCAGAGGCCCCTAACCCAAACCACACCCACCACCATGGGTTGGAGCCCTGAGTAAGGGTTTTGAGTCTGTGCGTGGTGATGGGCGCAGACAGCCTCGGCTTACTCCCGAGAAGCAGTTGGGGGGGCTTTGACACACGGACTTTGTGAAGGTCTTGCCCTGGGAAGCCCCTGTTCTTCTATCAGTCCGGTAGTTGGGACTCAGAACCAACAGGGTTTCCGCCTGGGAGACACGGAGGAGTTGAAGGTGGTAAGGATGCCCACGGGTCGGTCCTTTTCAAGAGATGCTTTTTCTGAACACTTGTGGGCTCTTCTGCGCTCTACAGATCACGCAGTCTCCAGCGGGCACCCAGGTGCTGGAGGAACTGCCTGGGGACCATGTCAACATCGCTGTCCAGGTGCGGGGAGGCCCTTCCGATCACGAGGCTACCACCTGGATTTTGGTGAGTATCTTGCTTGGTTAGGCTCATTGGACGGTATTGACTGCCCACCTGTCACCATTGCCGCCAGGTTCGTTCTGGCTTGGGGCAGCCCCAGGTGTGCGTGTCAGAGTCGAGATGGTCTACACTGGATTTCCGGTAGCCGGTCGCCAGCCCTTACTTCCCGGTGGGCTCACCCCATCCAGCTCATCGTTAGCAGCCAAGTGCCTTAGCCAGCTTTTACACTGCCACAGCTCGGCACAGTTTTCAATACTCTTTTGAGTCATTTCTCATTGGACCTCCTTAGAGGCATGAGGTGGGGAGGACAGGTGGGAGGGTAAGTGGCCAAATACCCAGTGGGGAGGGTAAGTGGCCAAACAACAGCCCCCTGAAGATATCCATGTCCTACTCCCCGAAGCCTGTGCATAGGCTGTTACCTGACAAGGGGAAATGAAGGTTGTTACAAAGATGCTCTTGGAATTCCCAGATGGGTCCAATGTACTCACAAGTCTTCAGTGGGGAGAGGAAGGCAGAGGGACGGATGTGAGACTCAATGGGCATCGCTGGCCTTGCAGAGAGAAGAGGCCACAAGCCAAGGAATGCAGGTGGTGCCTCTGGAAGCTGGGAAGGCCAGAAACCAATTCTCCCTACAACATGCAGCAGGAAAGCTGCCTTCACGTTAGCACGGGAGACCAGGCGCCTCCAGACCTGCGGGTGGTCAGACAGCCCCCATCCCTTTCCCCTCTTCTGACGCCAGCTGTTCCTTCCTCCACATCACTCTACTTCATAGCTGGGTTTGATCACTCATTGCCGTGGCCACACACACACACAACTCACACCCAATGCTCACGATGATGAGGCTTGTCGGGGGAAGTTAACAGATTACCATTCAGGATACAGTTGTTCAGTCCGAACAGTTTCTTCTCTGCCATGCCTGCACGCAGGCCTCTCGTTGGCCCTCAGCCTCTGGGCCTGACCTCTGCCCTGCAGTGTTAACAAAGCTCTTTCAGGGTTGCCAACATATGCCCAAAGGGCATGCTCCTCCACTATAAGTTTCAACCCGAAGGCATTCAGCTCCATTTCTGGGGGTTCACAAAGCCCAGCTTCCTCAATTAAGCATCCAGAGGCACCCTACTTTACAAACCAGCCTCCTGCCCGAAAGCACTCGGCTTGACCTGCTCCGTGGGTGGGAAAGTCTACTACTCTGTTTAGTGCGCCGGCGCTGGTGCTGCTGCTGCGTCTCTGTCACTCCTGGGTCAAGGAGGTTTAATGCACAGGGATCTCGGGGTTGGAAGTCATGTCACGCTCCCCTTCCAGATCCTCTTACCTTCTTGTCGTGAGATTCCCTGTTGCTGCTTCTGAAATGGTTGATTTCATCCCCAGCAGGATGGCAACCACAACTAGCCCTGTTCACCATCACTCAGAACTGAACTCTTGTCAGTGCCTTCCTCCGCCTTCTCTTACCCAGGCCCATCAGCAATGCAAGGGGTCATTAGGCGGGAGCTCCAGGGCCCAGTGGCAAGAAGAGCCACGTTCAACAGGGCACTGTCTTGCAGTGTCATTAGGAGCTAAACAAGCCTATAATTCGTCTGTGCCATTCAGAAGCACACATGCCTGCCTGCACTCTCTTTTGCCTGTTTCATTTCTAGATCAACCCACTGAGAAAGGAAGATCAAGGGGTGTACCAGTGCCATTCGGCCAACACCCTGGGGGAGGCCCAGGCCCTCGGCACAGTGACTGTCACAGAACTGAGTGAGTAACTGCAACCCTCCCCCATCTCCCAGCTCCAGAGGAGACACGTGACAGAGTAATGTCTGTACTCTGCGTCAATTTTTAATATTTATGTACGCATGTTGCAGGAGGTTTGCAGTGGCTTATGAGATACGTAATGAAAAATACATAAATGGAATAAACTGACTGCAGTGGGATTATACTGAGATAAGCAGGCAGAATGGACCGTGAGTCCCCTACCAAGAGTTGCTGTTGGAGCATGCTAGTGCTGCTCCATAGAAATGCCAGAAGGGGGTGCCTCTGACAAGCAGACATCCACTCTCTCACAGTTTCAGAAGGCTACCAGTTCAAAGTCAGGGTTCTGAGATGCAGCCGAAGGACTTTTCTACCTCTGTTAAGGCGCTTGTCTCCTTTCAGCATCTGTGGGTCTAGCGTTCCTTATAGGTCTACCTGTGTCTTGGCGTTAATCTGCCCCTGGGTCTAGAGCAGTGGTTCTTAACCTTCCTCATGCCGCAACCCTTTCATACAGTTCCTCATGTGGTGGTGACCCCCAGCCATACAAGTATTTTCATTACTGCTTCATAACTGTCATTTTGCTACTGTTATGAATCATAATGTAAATATCTGATATGTAGGATCTATTTTCATTGTTAAAAATTGAACATAATTAAAGCATAGTGATTAATCACAAAACAATATGTAATTACATATTGTGAAATATTTATGGGTTTTCTGATGGTCTTAGGCGACCCCTATGAAAGGGTCGTTCGACCCCCAAAGGGGTTGGGACCCACAGGTTGAGAACCGCTGCTCTAACTTCTGGTAGCTGAGCTCTTGAGTGATGGGCTGCGCCCAGGCTTTAGGGGGCGGGGCCTGGGGAGAACCTGCTGTGGGGTGTGCAGTGGGAGGGGTGGGGCCCAGGCAGAGAAGCAGCCTCCAGCTGACTGTGTGTGTGTGTGTGTGTGTGTGTGTGTAAGAGAGAGAGAAAGAGAGAGAGAGTAGTAAGAGCCTCTAGAAATGAGTAAGAAAAACAGTAACGTGTCAGGAGGTGGGGGTCTTCAAATTGTCTTCCTAGTGGGTGCCTATGTTAGACAGGGTTCTCTAGAGAAACAAAACCAGGACACTAATAATTTTGTATATATTTATATAGATAGATAGATAACATAAGAAATAAACAGTTAATTAATCTATAGAGCAGTACAAATGGCTCAGTGCAACTCACTTCTGTGAGACAGCTAATAAATACACTGGCAGCCCTTCAAGTCTTCAGAGCCACCGGGTGCAAGTCAAGGAAGCAGACAGCTGAGTCCTCTGTAGAGCAAGTCAGGCTATCGGGCCACAGGCAGCAAACAGCAAGGCAGGTCACCAACAGTCGGCCAGGTGACAGGGTCCAACACTCCAGTAGCATGGCGAAGCAGGTCTTGAAGGAACCTCAAACTACAGCGACCCAGTCCACGAGTTAGGCGTCCCACAGGTAGTGTAGCTTGCAAATTGAGGCAGAGAACAAGCTAAGGCAGTCTGTACACTGGTCCGATCATCGAAGAGCAAGAGAAGAAAGGCGAGGCTCACGGAGCCATTTCTCTCTCCACCCTTGGATTAATCCCAGCTGTTCATTGGCCATTTGGCACAATAAATCTACCTATCACAGTGACTTTTTTGTTTTTACTGCTTTGAAGAACGCATCGACCAGTTGCCATGAGGCAAATCCGATTTGTGGCAACCCCATGTGTGTCACAGCTGAACTGGGCTCTCAGGGTTTTCAAAGGAGCCTTGTAGGCATTGTCAGGTAAGCATTTGGGCTGCTTAACCAGAAGGTCTGTGGTTCAAACCCACCAGCTGATCCTCATGAGGAAGAGAGGCTGCCTGCTCCTATAAAGCTCTACAGCCTCCAAACACCCTTTATAGGGTCGCTGTGAGTCAGCATCCACTCGATGTCAGTGAGCTTGTTTTGGTAGCTTTGGAAATCTTCGGAGGTGCCTCAGGCTAGACTCAAACCTAACTGTTCAGTCAGCAGCTGCGATTATTAGCCATGTGCACCACCCAGGGACTCCAAGAGCTAATTGGAGGAGGGTGGTAGAGGGGGCTTCAAAAGTTCATGGATAAGTGGAATCCAAAGCTAAGGGAAAATGTCTTTCTTGAAGTCCCCGTGCATACTGTTTGAAAACACAGATGGCTCTGGGTTGTGGATGCAGTCTACTGTAGGGGAGTCTCCCAAAGGAAGCCTCGGAAACCGTGGAACCCCTCCGCCTGCCAAGCCAGCTGAGCACGTGCATACCCGCAGGGAGACAGGCTGGTTACCTCCAGATAATCACCTGTGGGTTTTCCAATAGCTGGAAAGTTCTTCCTCATATTAAGCTGCAACATGTCTCCCTGAAACCTCTGCCCATGGATCTAAATTCTACCTCTCAGACATCCCCCGCCCCCCAGACCCTTATGCCCCCCCAACCTGCACCAAGTGATTGTGACATATAGGGCTCTTTTTTTTCACCCCCTTAAACATTGTCCCTCTTCCTTTGCCTCTTAGGGCCTTGGGAGCACTGATCACAAGACGATGAAAAAGCCGGCCCCGGACGCTCTGCTTTCTGAAGAGTTGGAAAGATTGTGCTTGTAGAGGAGCCTTTGTATGTTTTTAGAATGTAGACGAAACCAGATTCAGATGTAGTTTGTAGGCAGGCAGACTTGCGGCAGCAGAAAAGTGTGCGCTGCTATTTTATACTTTTGGAATGGATCACGTTGTGAGAATCCCCTTTTGAACGACTCCCTCCAGTGAAGCTCCCGCGATGGTGTTCGTAATGCTAAAGGGCTTGAACCGGCAGTCGCCCTCGGCGACTCCTCACCTCCCTGGTTCATGCTGACTCTCGGTGCTCTGACATGGTACGCGCTGTCCACAGGGACAAAGGCAGCGTCCGAGCTCTCCTTTGCCTACCCTTACCTTGCTGTGTGATTAAGACAGGTCTCCTCTGGACCCCAGCTTCTACACCCAGGAGCATAGCATTTGGGCTGGATGGCACCAGTGTCCCTTCCAGCCCTGTGATCTTAACGTAAGACAACCATAAGTCAGAAATAACAGGGAGTGTGCCAGTTACGGTTTTGAGGTTCATTATTATTATTAATAGGAGCCCTGGTGGCATAGTGGTTACGTGTTGGGCTTCGATCCGCAAGGTTAGCAGTTTGAGACCACCAGCTGCTCCTAGGGAGAAAGACAGGGCTGTGTACTCCCATTCACAGTCAGTCTCAGAAACCCACAGGGGCGGTTCTACCCTGTCCTATAGGGTTGCTCTGAGTTGGCATTGACTCTGTGGCAGTTGGCAGTGAGTTTTTGCTTTGAATCTTTAAAGATGAACAACATTAAAAACCACAGCAAAGCCACATCACCATAGCTCCCTCGTGGGGCGTGGACAACTGACCTCAGCTATTTGCTCCCTGCCTGCCCTCCAGTTTTTAGGGAGACTTCGTTTAGACAGGTGTTTACCAGGCTCCAGACTCCCAGGACTCGGTGTTTGGGGACTGAGATGCCCACTCAGGAGCCCAGCATTCTCCAGCCAGATGGGCAGGGGAGACTTGGCCTCTGGACGTCAAACTGCAAACTTACCGCCTGATGCTACGTGCAGGGCATGGGACTAGAAGGTGCTAGACCGAGTGTGTTGACCTCGCAAAAGAGGAAGGCTTGTCCTCCTCCTTTCCCTTTGATGGGGCAAAGAGGGAGAACACTTACTCTCTGGGCTAAAATAATAGACCACCCCCTACCTCCACCCCCGTCGGCCATGCAGGTGTGTTGGAGTCAGCATCGGGACCCCTCCTCTTTGGACAGACCTGCAGGTTCGGGGGGCGCTTTCCCGTTGGCAGTCACTCCCACTCTAGGAGGGAGGGCCAGTGGTTTCAGTCTCTGTTCACAAACAAAACCAAGCTCAATGGTAAAGCCACTTGCCCAAGGCCCCAGGCCAGGGCATGGGGCTGGAGCTCCGGGTTCTGGCCTGCCCCCAATTACCACCACACGGTGCTGAATCTCAGGATATGCCAGTCGCTGGGGCGGCGGGGTGGGTGGGGGTGGGGGTCAGATGCTGCTGGGCCTCAGATTTCAGGGATTCTTGCCAAGGTCCCTCTTGGCTCTCACTGCCCTCTCCCCGTCCCATGCCCCTTGTGCTGGGCAGTACATTTGGACCCCTTGTTATTGCTGGACTCTGCCTTTACGCCTGTCCGGTCCATGTCCGACACAGCCGGACGTGCCTCTGGCATACCGCAGATCAGGGAGACCCGAGGAGCAGCGAGACCCAACCTAGGAACTTGTACATATTCCGTGTGTGGATTTCTGTGACTCTCAACAGCCCCCTCCACCTCCTGGGTCTGTTTCCCCACGTACAACAGGAAGGGGTTGGGCTAGAGAGCTGTTTTTCAAGCTTGGAAACATTGTAGCCCATCCTTTGAATAAAAGCGGAATTGAAATAGATTGCCGTCAAGCTGCCTGGTCTGTGGGTGGTCCGGGTGGCCAGGAGCCCCCTGCTCACTTCCCCTTCCTACCCTGTATTTGCTATCTCACCCTGGCCCTATGCCGTGGCCGGGGGATGACTTAAGAAGACTCTTGGTGACCTTGTGTGGAAGGGTGGACTGAAGCCTGGGGGTGGCCGCTGTGGCTCTGGAGAAGACAGGAGAACAGCCCCATGCCCCTGCTGAGAGTCTGCTCAGCAATAGCAGAGGGCTCCCCACAAATGTGCCTGGTCAGAACTGGCGGTCAGCAGGATGCAGCCCCAGGGGGCCTGGGCTGGAGACCGGTGGATGAGCTCAGCCGGAACATGTTACCTGGCCTGGAATGTTCACCTGGGACCTGTGGGTGGATTCACAGGAGTGTCCCAGGCCAAGGGCTCAGCTGTGAGAGCCCAGTCCAGTCCTTCTGATGTCCGAGCCTTTCTCTCCTACTTTGAGGTCAGCTGACCCCGTGCCCTGGAATAAATGCTTAGGCCTCTCTGGGCTCGGGTGCTTGTAGGTGACGTCCGGTCCCACTGGGACTTCACCTTCCAAGTGTCTTGCCCTCTGCTCGTCAGAGCCGGCTACATCCACCTGTCCTTCCTACCCCTCGCACCCGCCCAGTCATCCTCACAGTCTCTCCGGGGTCTTCCTCGCCCCGCCGACCCTTCCCTTCACCAAGCATGACAGGTGCCCTCGAGGGGACCCCTCCTGATGATGTATCCAGAGCAAACGAGTCAGACGAAGCTCTGTTATAATCCACAAAGAGCTCATTCGCTCCTTTTTGGAGATAGACTGCCAGGTCTTTCTTCCTGGCCTGTCACAGTTGAGGAAGCTTGGCTGAAATCTATCCAGCTGGGGGGCCCCTGCTAGTATTTGAAATACCAGCATCATAGTAACACGAGAGCCCCCACCGTTCTGTGGAGAGCCCATGGGCCTACACTTCTACTTCTCTTAGCACTTTCCACCCCATCCTGTATCTGTCTCCCCGCAGACAGGTCCTGCAGGGCCGCCCCTGCCACTCGCCATCAAGACACCTCTCCTCATGGTGACCCCACCGTGTCAGACTAATAAACGGAGGATTGGAGCAGCGTTTTCTAGAGAAACAAAACCAGGCTACTTAAGATTATGTATATGAGGTTTATACAAGGAGGAATATAGCTAATTAGTTCACACAGCCGTGCGGAGGGCTCAGTTCAACTCACTTTCATGGAACCGTTAATATACTGGAAGCCTTTCAACTCCCGTGGGCTGCCAGGTCCAAGGTCAAGGAAGCAGACCACGTGTCTTCCCTCAGGCAAGGCAGGCAGATCTGCCCACAGGCAGCCGACGGCAGGGTGGGTCAGCAACAGCCTATAGCCCCGGAGTTTAGGAGGCAGCTGTCCCAGAAGCACAGTAACAGGATCCACCAGTGGCAAGCTCAGTGCACGCACCGGCATGGAGAAACTGGTCGCGAAGTAACCTCAAACTCTAGAGCAGCAGTTCTCAACCTGTGGGTCCCGACTCCTTTGGGGGTCGAACGACCCTTTCACAGGGGTCGCCCGATTCATAACAGCAGCAAAATTACTGTTCTGAAGTAGCGAGGAAAATAATTTTATGGTTGGGATGTCAGCACAACACAAGGAACTGCACTCGAGATATGATCCACGGTTTGGCTTGGTCCACAGGTAGTGTAGCACACAGGTTGAGACAGAACTAGCTAAGCCAGCAGCCCACTGGTCCACTCACCAGGGAGCAAGAGAGACGGGGCGGGCCTTGCAGAGCCATTTATCTCGTTGCCCTCCAATCAAGCTGCAGCCTGATTAACCTCCACCCACACGGTCCTCCCGGCCTATTTGGAATGATAAACCTAACTATCCCAGTGACATCCTCACTGCATCAGCATTCTCCGTATTGCTGGTCCAGTTGCTTCACGCCCATTAATTTAAACTCCTTGCCACCACAAAACACCCCAGCCTTCTCGTTTATGCTTTAAAATAGCTGTTAACCATTTGGTTATATATGTATATAAATATATATATGTATATGTATGCTGTATATACTCGTGTATAAGCTGAGTTTTTCACCACATTTTTAATGCAGTTTCTCTGGTAAAATTAGATGCCTCGGCTGTTTTCCAGGTGGATTTATACTCGAGTATATATGGTGTGTATATATATTACACGTGTGCCTTACTCGAGGGTGGAGATTCCGTTTTGAGCTAAACTGTTACTTAGTTAAGAGGTGACTTCAGGGGATAATTTTGCCTCAGGGTTTGGAGAGCAGCTCTGGGTCGGAGTCTCAGAGACTCCTCTACCTTCAAGAGGTCCATTAAGTCTGGGCTCTTAAGAGTCAGAGGTTCTGTTCCACATTTTCCTCTTTCTGTCGGGATCTTGCGGCTGTGTCCTTGATCAGAACGTTTGGGCGTGGTCGCCGGGCACCATCTATTTCTTCTGGCCTCTAGGGAGAAGCAGCTGTGGTTCACAGAGACAGACAGTCCTGCAGCCAGGTCCCTATTCCAATTCTGGGGTTTCCTCTATCTCTTTTGCTACAGAAAAATAGAGACCAGTCATTGTGTCTTAGCTGGCTGCTGACTTACAGACCTCAGACACTACTTTTGAGACACTCCTCGCCAGACAGGGAGGGAGAAGATAAACTTGAAGAACTCTGCTATGCTAATTGTCGTAGACATTTTCCCCCTAGAAGTAAATCACCAGGTCTTTCTTCCTAGGGGCCTGGAATGGACTCACACCTTCAATCTCTCAGGTAGCAGCTGCGTGACTTAATTGTACCACCAGGGACTCCTGGAGGACAGGGACTTTTTGCTCATGTCCCTCCGTCCCACCCAGAACCAGGACTGAGCTGGCTGCTTGCCCCATTAGCCTGTGTTATCTTCTGAGCAACTCAACAAAGTGGCCACCAGAGGGCAGCCTCACACCCGGAATGGTGTCCCCGGCAGGTCCTCTCCTAAATGGTTTCACTGGGATGGAAAGAGCAGCTCCCTGGGTGGGGTGGGGGTGGGATGGGGTGACTTACAGAGCTGGGTGTTTGGGTTGTTGGGCATCATCAGGGGCCTTCAGACTTCGAGGTTGGTCTGCATCCCGCCGTGGCCCACAGTGTGGGCACAGGAGAAACTGATAGCAGGTTAGCCACATTCTCTCTGGTGGTATGAGACTGGCCGACAAGACAGGGGCTGCCTGCTTCATCTCCCACCCTGATTGGCAGAGACTAGCAAACCGCCCATGAAACCCACCTGGCAAGCCCCCTGAATAACGGCCCACTGAAGACATCAGTCCCTAATGCCGGCAATCTGTAAAGGTTACCTTATAAAGACAAGGCTCTTAGCAGGTGTGCTTGGGGGAGGGGAGATCATCCTGGATTAGGGTGGACCTTAAAGGCAAGCACGTGTACTCGTTTCTTTACAACAGAGGTTACATAGAGGGGGGAGCTGCCGCTCCTAAGGTCTTCCCCGGCCAATTTTCAGAAGTAGATCACCAAGTCCTTGCTAGTCTCTTAATCTCTTGCTAAGCTCCACTGACACATGCCCACCCCGGGACCCTGCTGGTAGCTGACAGGGTTTCCAAGGTGCAATACGTGGCAGGTGAGGGTGCGCTCCCGCACGGCAGGCATGAAAACAAAGCCTTGCGGGTTGTCTTTTCCCAACTCCAGTCCTTACAGAAAGGCTCACCATCAACGTTCTCCTATGGAGAAACAAATCCAGCATGGCTCTGGTGAACCGTTGCGATGTTGGTTGGTGGTATCACCAGAGAAGCTCCCCCTCCTGCTTCCCCCACCCCTTTGTTCTGGAGAAACAGGCACTTCTGTGCACAGGTGCCAACAGCCTCCTGGAGTGCTGGTAAAGGTGCAGTTCAGGGAATCGGGGTCTCCGCAGCTTGGGACAGAAGGCATTGGCATGAGGTCCTAGGAAAGCAGTGGTGGGGAGGGACCACCCTGACTCCTCAAGAAACAGTTAATGAATAAGTCATCTCACTGCCTGGGTGGAGTAATTGGATGTGAAAGTAACAACTGGGGAGATTCACCCACATGTCTGCGAGGTCCTGGTGGTGGCTTGTGAGCAGTGTGGTCCAGGAGTGCAGAAGACAAGAGGCATGGCGTCAACCATCTGCCTCTGCGTCTGGCCTGGAGGATTGGACTGGCCTTCACTCCTGTCACTTGGGGATGGAAGTAATAAGACCGTGGGAAACGGAGGGCTGGGAAGAGAGTGTATGTGGCCAAATTCTCTACACTCACCATTAAGAGTCCTGAAGGCCAAGAATCTGGTGGAGGAAGGTCTTCACATTTGTGAGTTGGAGAGGAATCCCAGTCACATTCTCCAGATTGAAAATCATGCCCCACAGTATCCCCCCATAATAGTGCTACTTTAAAGATACTGCTTACAACATTGGGCTGATCATGATGCGGCCTCCGGCCCACCTCTGGGAGTAGACATGTTCTATGGTCCTTCCTGCTCCAGGGGTGGGCGATTCCCCTCTGCCTGCCCACAGGACTGGTCTTAGGTAAGGTGACCAGCCGTCCCGCTTTTGGCGGGACAGTCCTGATTTTTGACAATTTTTCCCGCGTCCCGCGGCATTTTTAAAAAGTGCCGATTTTTTAAAAGAACGCATGACAAGCTAGGGTATACAGTTTTCGGCTGCCATGTGGCTATTTTGCCAGAATATGAGTTTTATCAATGGTGTCCCGCTTTGCCAATGTTAAAATCTGGTCACCTTAGTCTTAGGTCACTTCCCCAATGAGCTCAGGAACATCTAGGCTAAGACGCTGCCAACCTTGTTACGTATGTGACGGACAGGGCTTGCATGTCCAAGACTACATACGCCTGCTGAAAAATGCGTTTGCTCTCTCGCTCCTGGCTTCACGGAAGAGGTGAGCCCTTGCACGCTTCGTCTGCTGCCCTTTATTCTTTGCCGTCAATCGCACCATCGCACCCATTCGGTTGTTACAGTAAGGCCATAATAGATATGATGAGCTATGCGGTGTGAAACTCTGGTAGCTTCCAGCAGTGTCAGGTAGGCCCAGACTGGGCTTGGTGTGAGGGGTGGTGTGGAGCTGGCAAGGGTCAAGAGGCCAATGCCTGTGGAAGTCTTGGACTGAAACCTGAAGTGGACTTGCCCCAGGCAGGCACCAGAGCTGTTACAAGTGTGACGTAAAGGTTGTACTCAGTCACCCAGCCAAGAGGAAGCAAAACAAAATGGAAATGTTGTGGAGGCTTTGGAGGGTGGGGTGTTTGGCCAGGTGACCAGTGTTCCCTCCCCCCGCAAGACTCCGTAAAATATCCAGCAGTAACAGAAAATTGAGACAAGATGAATTTATAAGTAGAATGCATGAGTTTATTGACTTAATTTTATTTTCAAATGGAGTCTATAACTCATGTACCATAAACACGTGTCCTTTTACAGCCATCCTGCGAGTTTTAGTATATTCACAAAGGGGTACAACCATCACCATGGCTTCATTCTGGAACATTCTCATCACCCTAGAAAAGAGACTAGCTACTCCCTCCAGTCCCTTCCCAGTCTCGTGTCCTCCCAGCCCAGCAAACCGCTAGGAGTCGACGTGCTGCGCGGAGGACTGCTCTGAACGTGCTACGCTCTCGGCGGCTCTGCAATTTTCTGACATGGCACGGTACAGTATGTGGCCTTTTCTGCCGGCCTCGTTTGCTCAGCTGAAAATTTTCAAGTTCCGTCCATGTTATAGCATGTGTCTTTTCATGGCCAGACAGTATCCCCTCGTCTGCCTGTACCGCCCTTTGCTTCCCCAGCCGAGGGAAATGTGGGCTGGTGGAGTTGACTTTGAAGGTGTGATCTTGCTAATGCATCCTTTGCCTCCCTCTTCTCTCAACTCGAGGGAACTCACTAGCAGAGTGAAGTGCAAGTGGGCAAGACAGCTGACGACTGGGACTTGGAAGGGAAGTCGATCGAGGAAGAGTAGGGCTCAGATTCAGGGTCCACGTGGTTCAAACCTCCCGAGTTGAGTACATCCATGAAGCCATCAAGTTCACTCTCGGAAAAGTCCTCGGTTCGGGCAGGCAGAACAACATTCCTCAAATTGCTTCCATCTGTCTTCCCAGAGACTTTTCAGGTCTCAGGACTGTGACGGGGCGGGGGAGGGTCATCCTGGGATTAAGGAGCAGCTAGAAAGGAATCCGGGGTCCCCCCCCCATACCTGCTTGAACTAGAGTAGCCCTGACGTCGATGGTGTTATTTGTAAGGGTCCCTCGAAGAGTTCATTTGGAATGAAGAAAGGCGGTCCATCACTTTAAAGAAACAAAAAGGCAGCCACTGGTCTGGATGCTTTGGGGGTCCTTGGACGGGGTCCCACGGTGGCCGTGCTTAGGAGTTCTTCTGAGGAACTTTGATGGTGACCGTCTTCACTTCCGTGTAGGCCTTAAGCCCATCCTCCCCCAGCTCCCTTCCGTTGCCAGATTCCTTGAAGCCCCCAAACGGGGTGTGGCAGGTGACGATGTTGTAGGTGTTCACCCACACCGTCCCGGCTTGCAGCGCCTGGGAGAAGTACAGGGCTTTGTCCAGGTCCCGGGTGAACACGGCAGCGGCCAAGCCATACCGGGTGTTGTTGGCCCTCTCAATCACCTCCTCGATCTTCTTGAACTTGAACAGGGGCTGCACAGGCCCAAAGATCTCCTCCTTGGCGATCCTCATGTCGTCCCGCACGCCCCCAAAGACGGTGGGCTTGATGAAGAAGCCGCGCTCCCCGAAACGCTCTCCGCCACAGAGAAGCTTCGCCCCTTCTTTCTGGCCAAGCTGGATGTAGCCCAGGATCCGCTCAAACTGCTCCTGGTCCACCTGGGGCCCCTGCTGGGTCTCCAGCTCGAAGGGGTTCCCAACTTTCCTCCGTTTGGCCTTCTCCACGGTTCGCTCGAGAAACTCGTCGTAGATGGATTCCTCCACAAAGGTCCGGGAGCCGGCGCAGCAGCACTGGCCCATGTTGAAGAAGAGGGCTTCGTGGCACTGCTCCACGGCGTGGGCCATGTCGGCGTCGGCCAGCACGATGCTGGGACTCTTCCCGCCCAGCTCCAGGGTGACCCGCTTGAGGTTGGACTCGCCAGCTGCCTTTTGGATCAGGTGGCCCACCTCTGTGGAGCCCGTGAAGGCCACCTTGTCGATGTCCATGTGCTGGGCGATGGCTGCTCCTGCCGTTGGGCCATAGCCTGGGATGATGTTCACCACCCCGGGGGGGAAGCCTGCCTCCTTGATGAGGGAGGCCAAGTACAGGGCAGACAGTGGGGTCTGCTCAGCCACCTTCATGACCACGGTGTTGCCCGTCGCAAGTGCGGGGGCGAGCTTCCAGCCCTGCATGACCAAGGGGAAGTTCCAGGGGATGATCTGGCCACAGACGCCCACGGGCTCGTGCCGCGTGAAGCAGAAGTGCTCGCCGTCCATGGGGATGGTCTTGCCATGCCACTTGTCCGCCCAGCCGGCAAAGTACCGGTACACCTTGATGACCTCGTCCAGGTCTAAGACGTAAGACTCTTGGAAGGGCTTCCCGTTATCCAGGGTCTCCAGCGAGGCCAAATACACACGGTCCCTCTCCACGAGGTCGGCCAGGCGGTTCAGCAGCCGGCCTCGCTCAGAGGCATCCATCCGGCGCCACGGGGACCCCAGGCGGAAGGCCTCACGTGCTGCCTTCACCGCCCGGTCCACATCGGCCCGGTCCCCTTCAGCCACGTGTGCAATGACCTCTCCAGTGCTGGGGTTGATTGTGGGGAAGGTCTTCTTGCTGACTGCGTCCTGCCACTCGTTGTTAATGAATAGCTGGTTGTAGCGGACGTCTGGGTTGGGGACAGGCCTTGGGAGCGCTGCCGCCGAGGAGTATGGGGCGGTCCTGCTGAGCAGGCCGGGCAGCCGGGGCACCAGGAAACGCAGCATGCCGACGACAACTAGAGAGGGATAGGAGGAACCAGGGTGAGCAGGGGAGGGGCAGTGAGGTGGTCACCTAAAGGCCCAGCAGCTAATTTAGTCCAGGACGTCAGCAAAAGTGGTGTGCCTCTAGAATGCAGATTGTGAGGGGCCTAAAGGACCGTGGGGAACTTGCTCAACCAGACCCATTATGTCGCCTCTATTTTTCCCTGACACCCTCCTCCGCCTCTTTGCTCGAAGGACCCCCGGTCGGTGAGGTCCTTTCCTGGCCACCCCGCATAAAACCACAACTGTTCCCACCCTCAGAGCTCTACCCTCCAACCCCAACACCCCCCATATGACATATTAAATACTCTACCATTTTATGTGTTTATTTCTGTCTTCCACCAGGAAGGCGAGGGCAAGGTATTGTTTTTGGTTTTTTTCCCTGTTTCACTCATTGCTATGTCCTTGGTGGCTACAATTGTGCCCAGAGAGGACCACTGCTCGGCAAATAGTTACTGAACAAGCGACTAAGGAGACAGAAATGTCCGCCTTGTTTGGGACTGGACCAAGGAGAGGAAACCACGGGGCTGAGAGGCAGAACAGACAGAAGCCGAACCACTGGTGCTGAGTGGATCCCAACTCATGGCGACCTCACCCCGTGTCCCGGTCCCACTGTGCTCCACGGGTGTCTAGCAGCTGCTTTTCTGGGAGATTACCAGGCCTGTCTTCTGAGGTGCCTCTGGGCAGACTCCAACAGCCAACTTTTCCATGAGCACCACCCGGTAAATAGTAAACAGGGCAGGTCTGTTTACTCTGGGCTGTGACCCTCAGGACATAGTGGACGCCCCAAACCACGAGTGCTATGCAACATATGTGGTATCTAACACGTATCCGTTGAAATTTAATGGGGTAGAAAAGTTCCTAGATGAACTGTGGTCGGAGGGGATGCCAGCCCCCTACCACTAATATATATCATATTAAGGTCTCGAGAGCATGAGAGATAGAAATAATGGAGTCAGACACATTTCATGGTAGCAATGCTCACCTCAGCCCTGCTTGGTGGTCCACGTGGAGAGGAGGAAGGGAAGGAGGAAGAGGGGAAAGGGAACAGGGGAGTGAGGACAGGAGAGGAGAGGGGGAGCCGACCAGAGGTCAAGGGAGGAGCTGAGTGAGAGAGATCTTTATTGACCCCAGCCTATATACCTTTGGGGGGAGTGCAATCCCACTAATTACAGGTAAAGACATACATCACAGGAAGGGGTTGCACTATAGGTAATACAGCAATGAGAGGGGGACAATCTAGGGATATACACGTAATAGGAAGAGAAGGGATTGGGGGTATACATATGACAAGATGGGCAGATCCTAGATTCAGGATGGCAGCTTAACCTTGGGTGTCCCGGAGCCAGTTTGACCTGTTCCCTGGCACCATTATCAGTAGGGAACCAAGCTAATGGTGGCAGGTCTTAGCCCATTGTCCCCAGCAGCAGGGAGCAGGCCCACCCGTGGTGGGAAGAGACAGCAGTCTAGCACCTGACTGCTTCAAAGGAAGTAACTTTTTTAAAAATATTTTTTTTAATCATTTTATTGGGGCTCATACAACTCTTATCACAATCCGCACATACATCAATTGTGTAAAGCACACTTATACACTTATACATTCGTTGCCCTCATCATTCTCAAAATTTGTTTTCCGCTTGGGCTCCTGGAATCAGCTCCTCATTTTCCTTCCCCCACCTCCCTCCCCGCTCCCCTCTAAGGAAGTAACTTTTACCATTAGCTGCAAGCAGTGCCCTAAGTCTAACGATTTGGGGGAGACGCCGTGGGAGAGATCTTTGTTTCCCACAATGAACCGCTGTCATTCTCCAGTCCCATCAAAAGCCCCGCTTGTCCGTGATTTCAGCTGAGTCTTAATTAACCCCATCTAGCAGCAAAACAGAATTGCATTACACCTGCCTGCCCCACCCACCTCAGCACACCCTGATTCAGCCCCTGGGAGAGACTGGGGTGGGAAGGGGCCAAGAACAAATTCAGACAGCAAGGCCCCAGCCAAGTGCGGAGCCCATAAAAGGGGGGAGGTCAGTCAAGGTGGGGTCCTGGCCTCATTCTGCTGAGCACTCTGCCTGGCCCGGGACAGAAGCTGCCTAGGGCCCAGTAGGCAAGTCTAAAGGGAAGAGGGCTGAAGGCACCTGAGGAAGATACCGAGTCTGTGTGAGGGGTAGGGGTTGGGGGCTCCACTTGCAGACGGGGAGATCTCGGTTTAAAGGAGCAAAACAGTTTACAGTTTGCCTTCTGTTATCTCACAAGCCTCTGCAGCCAGGGCCACCTGAAGCAGGCTGGGGATCAGAGAGGTGCAGGGCCTCACCCAGGGCACACAGCTCAGAAGCAGAAGTGCGTGGGTGGGATCTCCACAGCCCTAGCTCCGTGCTTCCGCTCCAGGAAGGGCAATTTCTAACTGTGTATCCCACACGGGCTCTCATGTTGCTTAGGATCTGGGTCCCTCCAATGTCCCCCTGCCATAGCCAGAGGGTCTCAGCTGGTCCACTCATGAGGTCTAGCTCACCTGGGGGAAGGTTTGGGGGTCACCCCTCAGACCAGAGGGTGTGCATGAAGAGGATCCACTGGCCATTGGATGGGGAGGTGGGGCCCAGAGAGCAAAGCCTCTCTTATGGGGACCGAGCTGTGGTCTCCCCGGGCGGGGGGAGGGTGGGGGTGCTAGTGGGAGTTGGCGGCGGGTTACCTGTGGCCGTAGCAGGAGCTGGGGCGGGATCCGTTCCTTCTGCGGGTCCAGTCCGGCTGCCTACCTAATGTTGGCTCAGGTCCCGCCCCCAGACCGAGCAGCCGGCGGCCAATGGGGCTCGGCCTGATCCCCCGTGTCGCCGCCTAGGCCAAAGGGGTCGGGTTTCCACCAGGTCCCTGTGCCCCAGGTTGCTTGACCCCAGCCTCTTCTTACCCGCGGCTCTGGCGCCAGTACCCCTGGCCATGCCGCTGCCAGCAGGGAGGGGAAACCGAGGCCCAGGGACGGGCAGTGGCGTGGCCAGGTCACCCGGAGGCTCCCAAAGGCTGGGCCGGGGCTCCTTTTTGCATACCTCGCCCTCCACAGGATGCAGCCTCTTGGTACCCCTCCCTTGCTGTTGCTCTTTCCCAGGCCTGGGGGCGCACTAATGTTTGTCTGTTACGCCTGATTCCTTCATGCAGACAGCTGTGCATTTATTTTAAAAATGCATTTTATCTTAAGGACAGACAGTATATGCACAATTTTCAGAACTTGGGAAATAGAACAGGTTGAGAGCCACAAAGATAAACACCTGTAATCCCTTTGCTCAGAGGTATCCAGTTGCCCCAGGTGACTCAGCAGAATGCCCCCACAGGGCTCCCAGGGCCGTAATCTTTACAGGGACAGATTGCCACCCCTCTCTCCTGTGGAGCCCTGCCAGCACTAACTACGGTGACTTAGTGTTTATGCTGCTGGTAGTTTTTTCCTCTGCACCTTTAAACATTTCTTTGAATGCAAATGAAATTGTAGGGGAGATTCTGTTTTTGCAGCTCTGATCACGGTGGCGGTAGTGTTGCGGCTTTCTCTCCTTTCCTTACAAAAGGACTGCAACATCCTCCCCCGGTGACACCGAATTCCACTGTAGCGGGGAGAGGTGGGCACCTGGACAGTGTCCTGCTTGCTGCCGAGCACCGTGGACACATCTCGGAGCACAGACATCGTGTGCAGCTACCCGGTGCACGTTGGGGAGTGAAAGCTGTGTCTCCAGCCTGGCTTGCCACTGGGGTTTGGGATAGGAACTAGATGCCGTCATCCTGCCAGACGGCTGGGGCTTGGGAAGGAGTTGGAAGGTGCTGTGGGGTCTGTGGGCGGTTTCTCATCGCAAGCGCCACGGCAGAAAGTCGAGGAGGGTGTTCTGTCACCCCACTTTCCCCTGTCCTCAGCGCCCTGGGTGTGGCGTGGCAGCTGTGGCTGCAACTTCTTAACTAGAGCTGCCTGCTCTTTGGCCTGGGGCTGCCGAGGTGTGTCTGGAACAAAATCGTTCCAAAGGTGGCTCAGACAGCCAGTGCTACCGGTGGGGCCAAGTTCATTTTAGAGTCAGCCCTGGAGGTCTAGCTGGGATCTACTTGTCCCCGTCACCCTCCCGGAGGTTCTGCCAGGCCGGCACCCAGCCCCTGAAGTTCCATTCCTAACCATTGGCAATCGACTCGGGGTGACTCCACGTGCCGTGTGGCTGACCATGTGCTCCCTGGGGTTTTCAGGGGCTGGTTTTTGGAAGCAGGTAGCCAGGCCTTTCTGCCGTGGTGCCTCTGGATGGGTTCCAACCCACAACCTTCCCGTCAGTAGCCAAACACTTCACCGTGTGCGCCACGGGGACGCCCACAAAGCCCCACCTGTCTGAATGTTGACCAGGAGTGCCCCTGTTCCCTGCGTGAGTGAGCCTGTTCTTCCCCAAAGCTGTGTCTCTGGGGAGTGTGCTCACCCACCCCACCCACCCCCCACTCTATCAGGCCAAGGACACTCACAGCCCCGGCTACGAACGTTGACGCTTCACACAACATGCTGCACTGTGCTTCTGGCCACGTTAGGGCTTATGTTGTCCTCTGGTTTCCCCAGCAAGCATGCAGGCGTGCCCCTTGCATGGTCCCCTTTGCACCCCATGAGCATTGGGCACCGTGCTCCGGCAGAACTGGCTTCATGATGAATGGGTTCATCGTTATTGGGCTCCCTGAGAGAGGCTCCCTGCTCGGCACAAAGTGAGCACCAGGCCTCGGTGGTCAGCTATCTCCCCAACCAACCACACCCACAGACTTGCCCAGGGAAGCCTGTGGCAGGTCTGAGGGGGGCTGTGATAGACTGAAAATGCCCCCAGGGAGAAAGGATGGAGGCTGGGACTTGTGAGGAGCTGCTGAAGGGAGTGGAGGGTGTTCATCCTTAGAATTCAGGGGACAAGGTTGTACCCTCCAAATTTCTGGGGGTGAAAACATGTGTGATCCGTGACTGGTCCTAGAAGCCAGAGCTGTGGAGAAGTACTGGGGCGCTGGGGGTAGGGGTGGGGAAGACCTTCCTGACAAATCCGAGCTGTCTTAGGATGGAAGGGGCTGCCTTGAAAGGCAGTGAGCCCTCCATCACTGGAGGAATACAAGTAGGGAGAGACAAGCACTTGGAAACATCCTGGAGAGGAGCAGATCAGATCCGAATTAGACCCTGAATAAGTAGGTGCTGATTGCCCTACGCATTGGGCTGTTACCCACAAAGTCAGCAGTTTGAAACTACCAGCCACTCCACAGGTGAAAGATAGGCTTTCTACTCTCAGAAAGAGACCGACTTAGAAGAGTTTGTCTCAGACACCCACAGGGGAAGTTGTACTCTGTCTTACAGGGTTGATGTGAGTCGGGATCCACTTGATGGCAGTGGATTTGGACTGTGTTTTGGAGTTGGGGTTCAGGAGTGATTTTTGTTTCCCATATACTTCTGATGTGGCTCTAGATGTGGGCAGCTCCGGTATGAGTGGCAGGAGCCAACAGAAAGGTTGACAGCCAGGGGAGATGAACAGCCTACCTTTACGGCCTAGGGGACACTTTTACTCAGGCATCTCAGATCACTATGAGTTGGAATCAGCCAGGTGGCAATGGGGAGGTTTAGTACTGAGTGGTCCAAGGGGACCCTGTGACTCCGTGGGGGATGTTTTCAGAGAACGAAAGAATGATTTAATCTTCTATTGTGTTGTCTGTGCCTAGAATCCATCCAACAACCTCACTCTTGACATTTCATGAGCTCTGGTTGGCACCAGAATGCACGAAAGCATTCTTCTTGCAAGACATTTGAAAAGCATTATCAACACCCCCCACCCCCCACCCACATACACACCTTCGCCTGACATTTATGGTTTGGGGAGCCTAGAAGCCAGATATTTTGCCTGACATTTATGGTTTGGGGAGAAGGCTGAGTGTGCAGGGGTTGGGGGTAAAATAAAACGCAGACATTGTTTTCCCAGAGGGTGGGCTATTTTTCAAAAGTGTTTTGGATTCAGTTTTTTAATGAGCAAAAGAGTTCCAGGCTCTGTGGCCTGGAGCCACCGGGAGTGTTTGGACAAAAAGGACAAAGGGGCAAACGGAGAGATAACAGGCGCCGATGTCGGGCTGTTGTCAGCAGAAAACGTCACCCGGGATGTGTTTACACAGGGCTGGAGGAGGAAGAAAACCTCCTTCTAGTGTTTTGGAGCCTTATATGTCTAGGAAGTTACTGAAGAAAATTCCAGGCGCTGTGAATAATGAGTTGGCCGGACAGAGTCCCAGGAAAAAGAGCTGGGAGTGAAGTGGGCATTCATCCCCCAGGAGCATACTAAGGGGTGGGGGTCACCCTTCTCGGTGTTTGAACAGAGATGGGAGGTTGGTTCCAAATACCAGGGGTCCAGGGAATGGAGACATGACAATGGCGTTGCGTGTCCAAAGTAAACCCAGATGTGTTTCTTGTTTCTATTTCTTCCTGTATGTGTTCATGTCCCAGGGCTGCTGTAACAAACTACAGGGTTTAAAACAGCAGAAGTTCATGGTCTTATAGTTCTGAGGCCAGAAGGCCAAAACCAAGGTGAGGGTGGGGTGTCTGTAGATTCTACGAGAAAATCCTTCCAGGGGTGAATTACCCAATAAGTCAAGTCAGTGCGGGCTAACTTGTATTTATTTGCTAATCTGAGGCCTGCTTACCTGGCAATCCGATTCTTCCTTATCACAGTTATTCCTGGTGGGGGACTAGCAACCCCTGGTGTCCTCTGGCTGCATCCCATCAGGCACTGCCCCTCCGTCACGTGACATCCCCACCCCACTCCCACCCCCAGCAGCTCTTCTATGAACACCAGAGCCTTCAATCTAGTTTCACTTCCCCCTGGATAGTTACATCTGCAAAGACCCTGTTTCCAAATAAGGCCACATTCTGAAGTCCCAGGGGCTGGGGCATACATTTTGGGGGGTGTAAGGGGTAGGAACATTAGTCATCCTAGTGCACTAAGTGACTATCTAAGTGAAATGTGGGCTCTCTAAACAAAGTCTGAATATTTTCAAACCACATTGGCCTGAGTATTTGTCACGGTCTTGGTTCTCTGTCTCTCTGCCTGCCTGCCTCTCTCCCTTCCCCGGAAAGCAGCACTGTCCTGCTCCCACCTCCACCACCACGTATTCCGAGGGAAAACTGCCCGTCCTAGGATCGTGCATATTCTGGGAACCGTATGGCGTGTGTTTCCCTAGGATCGTGCATATTCTGGGAACCGTATGGCGTGTGTTTCCACTCTGGTACCAAAGTTGCTGGTGCCCGGTCACTTTGAGTAGCAAAGACAAGAGTACGAAGGGGCTTCCAAAGATTTGTGGAAAAAATCCATTATCTATTTTTAAAAAATCATTTTATTGGGAGTTCTTCTAGGTATCATACCATCCCAGTGTTCAATCACATCAAGCAGTATTTCGTACAATTGTTACCACAGTCAGTTTTAAACATATCCTTTCTTCTTGAACTCTTTGATATCAGCTCCCCTTTAACCTCTCCCTTCCCTCCCCTACCTGCCAGGAATGCTTATCTATTTATTATTGTTGTATCTGACACCATCCACTCTATCCATTCACATATAGTTCTGTTGTTCACTCCCCTTGAGTGGGGTCATACAGTCATCATTGCTATCAGCTCCCCCTTCCCAACCTCCCCACCCCCCCTTCCTCTATCCTCAGGGCTGTAATTCTGATGTTTGGAGTTGGAAAAGGATGTGAGGGGAACCAGCAAGGGGACCACCTTGCTGCCATTGGCTGAGAATGTCCTTGGAGACTGACTTA